CATTATTCCACTTCTTTTTAACAAATTTATTAAAAATATTTTAATCTTTTTATTATTAATCTTGATATTTTAAATTGTCAAGATATTATGATTTTCCTTAATCTCATATATTTTTTATTATAAATTTTTGAAAGATATAAATTAAGGATATTTATTACACCTTTATGTAAATATTTGTTTGTGCAGTGAAAGAGCGAGAACGGACATTTTTCTTTTTTTATACTTTATAGCTAGAGTGCAGTTTTCATTGGTCTCTTTCAATTGAAAAATCCGATCATATAAATAGAATTTTTTTTAATTTGTGCTTTTAGACTATAAATTAAGTGTATAATTAATATAAAAAATATTAAAAATAATAAAAATTGATATTAATTTTATTAGTAATGTTATGTAAATTATTTTAATTAAATAATTAATTAAATAAAGATTAATTTTTTATAATAATTAATATAAAAAATATATCTCTAACATATATTTTTAAAGCACAATTCAAAAAATCCCACGTAAATATAAAAAAATAAAAACGTTACTTTTAGTAAATGTGCATGCAACTTTCATTCATCAATTACAATTTAACTTTTTCATACTCAGGGTTAAGTATTTTTATTCTGAACTGAGTAAAAAAACATTTATGTTTAGATATAAAGAAAAGTAAAAATTAAGATGATTTGATATTTTAAATATTAAAATTTTTTGTAAAATTATTTAATTACTAATGAAGTTTTTTGTGTGTTGATTAATTATAATATTTTAATCTTTTTATTATCAATCCTAACTTTTAATTATTAAAACATTCAGACTTTACTCACATATATATATTAAAAAATATATTGTTAGTACAAACTATACTTTCTTATGTAGTTTAAGTATTAAAATTATTTAAATACTTTTAATAAAATGGCTTCTCTAAACATCCAGCCTGTGGTGGCTTTGTGGCCATTCGTTTGAATGCGTGGGTTAAAATAGCATGTCTTGGGTTTTAAATTTAGGACTTACTTCCTCTCCCTAAGCCAATTCCCCAATGTTCAAAAAAAAAAAAAAAGGCTTCTCTTAACTCATTTATTAATAATATTTAGATTTTTCTATCTT